CACACAAGACAAAATGTATCTAATTCCTAGAAAACATTTAGAGTAATTCATTTTGTCAGAACGTTTTACAATATTAGCAGTGTGGAGTAAGTAATTGGAGAAAAGACAGCATCAACAGTTCATGCTTTTATTTTAAGGGCTCATTTTAAAATGTTTAACAGACCTTTGTCTGCTGTTGCTGCTCTATATATGTAAACAACAAAGACAAGTTTCCTTTCATGTATACTCAGTAAGTTAGGATAATGTATATTTGTCTTTGCTGGGATAAGTGCTGAAGCCAACATTTTCAGCTCCTTCAAACACACTCCATCAGCTTAAGATTGTACTGACCACCAAGCGTATGAAGGTTATCTTAAGGAAAACACTTCTCAGTTTAAGTTTGCTTAGGCTTCAACAACTCAGCACTCACAGTCACTGGATTGTTTTCAGTATTGAATTTCTGACTTGACCACTTCAAGTTCAGAAATAAAACTGTTATACAATAACAGTTATGACCAGTAAAAATCCACAGCAATATTATACCTCCTCCAAATATAGGTCAGGACAGGACATTCAACAAAGTAGCTGCCTTCTGGATATAGAAGGTTTAATGGTCTGAAAGGTCATTCTTTCATATCTCAGCAAATAACAATGTAACTTATCATGATTTTATCAACACACAGATTTACGATAAAAAAGCTCTTTATTCCAGAACAGTTTTGCTTCCCTTACTCCAAATCAACCTTTCATCTTTTAACATAGCATTAATCTTAATTCCAGCATTTATCATTCCAGATTACAAATATTGATTACTGAGGATCTGATTGTTGAAGACTCTTGTTCCTCTTACAACTTGCAATATGGAATTATTTAATTTGAGTCTAAAAATTAAAATGTGGACTTTCAATGTGGTTTTACAATCTTTTTTGCCAAATACAATTTAAAAATACAGTATACTGTATATACAGTATGTCATTGCACGTTTCTGTGAATAAGAAAAATAACATTCTTGGGACTGCGAGAAATAAATTCTACCTATTGAACACTTCAACAATATAAAAGTCACACTAACAGTACGGATTCTAATTCAAAAAACAGTATGACCAAGTTTACCAAAGGCAATCAGCGTGAGATTGTAGAACAGGTGTTTCGGAATGCTCTGGTATTATGGGCCAGGGTAGAGAGGTAGATATTATATTCTATGATTGTTAATGTGCCTTGTACTTTTAGGATTTTTTTTTCAGCAATGACCTTGATGTCAAGCATCCACTGTGAGATTAATTTACCTTAATCTTGCAGTCTTCAACTGGTCAAGCACACCACACACAGTAGCTGATTAGGCAGTGTAAAAGCCATTTCTGACTTAAAATCACAGGTAGCAGTGTGTATTTAATAGGAGTTGTGTGGGGAAAAGAGAAAAGAGTCAGAACTCTCTTTAAAGGCATAAACAGAGTAGAAATAAATGTGATGATGGTCATTTTGTGATGCCAACTTACAACAACAAAAATAATAATCCTTACACTTCTATAGTGCTTTACTGGACACTCCACAGGTGTGGAGGCCTGGATGGGAGACTTCCCCTATGTCCTTTATCAATCGTGGCCTCCTAATCCCCTTCTCTGAAGTGGCTGCATCACTCTGCTCTCCTCCCCACTGATAGCTGATGTGTGGTGAGCATTGTGGCGCACTACAGCTGCTGTCGCATCATCCAGGTGGGGCTGCTTCAAACCACTGGTGGTGATGGAGGGGATCCCTGTTACCTGTAAAGCACTTTGAGTGGAGTGTCTAGAAAAGTGCTATATATGTGTAAGCAATTATAATTATTATTAATGGGGACTCACCTCCACCACTACCAGTGTGTAGCCCCACCTGGATGATGCAAAGGCAGCCATAGTGCACCAGTACACTCCCCACACACCAGCTCTCAGTGGGGAGGAGAGCAGAGTGCACCAGTACACTCCCCACACACCAGCTCTCAGTGGGGAGGAGAGCAGAGTGATGAAGCCAGTTCAGAGATGGGGATAATTAGGAGGCCACAATTGATAAAGCCCATAGGTGAAATTTGTTCAGGATGCGGGGGTTTTCTAGAGACTTCCTGGGATTATAAATGACCGCAGAGAGTCCAAACCTTGGTTTTACATGTCATTTGAAGAACAGCACCTTTTTACAGTTTAGAGTCCCCGTCACTATAATGGGGCATTAGGACCCACACAGACCGCAGGGTGAGCGCCCCCTGCTGGACCCACCAACACCTCTTCCAGCAGGAACCTTAGTTTTTCCCAGGAGTCTCCCATCCAGGTACTGAGTGACCAGGCTCTCACCTGCTTAGCCTTAAGCTAAGCTTCCCTGTGACCCTGTGTTGGGAGAAACAGTTAGAAAATGGATGGATGTAAATTACAGCAAGTATATGTGTTAATGCTACCACTGCATGACAGAAATATCTGACTTCTTTAGTAGTCACAATTATGCTTTTTATTAAAATAGTTGACCTATACTTTCAATTTCAAATTAATATTTTTTTATGTAGTGAACAGTAGATTTTCTACTGAATCCAATTTAATTTCATTGCTTCCTGAGACAGATTGAAGGATGACCTTTGATCTCGGCTGCTAAAAGGGCCAAATATGAACACTGACTCACTGCGTTCTGGGAGATTTGAGTGCCAACCAACCTCAGCAGATTGTCCTTCCAAACTTCTTAAATTCAGATGCCAGTCTGCCAAAAAAAAGACACACGCCTTGGCATTCCTGATTAAGCTGGGAGAAAGCACCAACCTGAAAGATTAGGTACTTAACCAGCTCCGTGTGGTTTGGCCAGGTAATTTTGGTTGGATGTTGTAGAAAGCTTTAAGCACTCTTTCTTCATCGAGGTTGAGCCTTTACTTGAAATTCACCATCTGACCAAGGCACCTAGCAGAGACAAGTGTGTTTATTCTGAAATCATGAAAGGTACACAGACAGAGGCCAGTCAACTACAGTGATTGTGTGGCTTGAAAATGTAATTTTGAGCACCTAAATTAATTTTGCTTTAAATACGTGGAGTAGTTGGAGTACACAAAACTATTAATTACTAATTCAAACTCTCACAACTGTAAGCTTTAAATCAACAAAATATGAACACTGTGGAAAGGTCTGAACACTTTTGCAAGGATATGTAGGTTAACCCCATAAGTACAATAAACGACTGTATTGCTCAAGATCTCCAAGTAAACATATTTCTTGTTTTACCAACAAGATCTCATTATTGCAGCCACCTGAAATAGATTTTGTTTTCTTTATCAGCATGCAGGTGGATGAAATTAAATAATTCCTATGTGGCTTGCATGGCAGGATTCTTCTGTTGAAATGAAGACTTTCTACCAACTCAGGTGTGACAGAAGACAGAAGGAACTGCTATTTTCTCTGGAGAAAACTTCCTGTGGCAGTGGAGATCTGGAATTGCTTAATCGCTTTCCAGTTCACTTGGCTTTGTACTTGAAATGATGCATTTCTACAATAGCCACTGTGCAAAATGAGCAGGTTAGTTTAAACGAAGAGGCGGACGTAAATAAAACTACTGGGAGTTTGGTGTATGCATTTATATAATCTGACAACAGTGTTTGTTTTTGGTACATTCGATAAAAAACAGCTAGATTTAGTTTTCATCCACAAAACATAGAAAAATATCCTCCAAACATTTTAATATCTGAATCAAATGAGAACATAAATAAGGTTACAAACAAGAGGACACCATTTTCCCATCTAATCCATCTGCTTGCCAGTAGCTAATTGATCCAAGAATCTCATCAAAAAGACGCGATATCGTCTTCAATACATCTTCATCTGCAATTTCCCTCACGGGATCAATAAAGTATCTACAGTATCTTCAACATGGTTTTGTAGCTTGTTCTAGACCTAGGTTTTAGTAGACACAGAAGAATGTCCAGAAAATGTCACTTAAACTGCTCTGGTCTGATCCAAAACGTTAGCCTTTAGTTTCAGCTCCAGTCCACACACGCAGACAAAGACGGGTTTAATTTTGGAAACGCGCTTCAGCTAGATTTAGTACTGGAAGACAGGATTTATAAACAGGGACAGAGGTGGGCGTAGAAAACGAATTTTCCAGATATATGCGATTTCTACATGGATACAGTGAAGCCCTATGAGAATCACCTTTATGTAGTCCTTTCATCAATAAGATGCTAGCAAATAGAACAAGAACGTTAGGTTTCTGTGACACAATTTTTACTAAAGTTAATATTCCTGTTTTCCTTTAAGGACTGTAGTCGATTCGGCTGTCCTTTACACCAAAAAAAAAAAGATGGACTGCATCGTTATAGAGATCCCTCACACTGCAGATAACATTGTCATACAGATGCGAGCCTGTGATTGATTAATGCGATGATCATAATGAGTGATATGAATGAAAAACAAATTGAAAAAACAACGAAACTTTTTAAGCTTTTTAAGCTTATTGACATTGATCCTTGTGCTAAATAATGCATTTAAAATATCAATAACAGGCATCCTTATTTACTTCTGTATCGGAATTTAATTGGTTTACGACATTGTTTTACAAATGTTTATAGCATTTTTCACAAGCCTTGGCGGAGAATTCAATTTTTCTTCTGAATGTGCAAGATTCGCCACGAATGGGTAAGGGGGACGCTGAAGCTACATAAGGACTAAGGACTAAGGTGCGTTACTGTAATTCGGTAACAAGCGAAGTGTTACCTGTTAAACACAGTGCACTCAAAGTTCAGTGACTTCAGCTCTGGGACAGATCTGCTGTATAGTGAGGCACCTCACACTTTTCTCCTCGTTGCGCAATTTGATTTTGGCTCAAAATGTGTTTCCGGGAAAAAATAAAAATGAACGCTTCAATTGACTTGGCCTCTGTTTGTGATATCACACCACCAAATATTAAAGCAATTGCATCAAACACAAAAGCGCTGCACGAATCGCGGACACGCCCGCCCGCTCGCTCGGTGTCCTGTAGCTCCTGCCCTGTCTGGATCTTCTGAGGTCTGCGCCTCCCTTTCTTTCCAATTGGACTGTCGATTCTTCCCCGCTATTGGACATTCCTGCCAGTGCTCTGTACGGAGGAGTATTTAAACAACTTAGCTAGCCGAGGAAGCAAGATGTGATTTTCCCGAGATTGTTGAAGTAGACGCTAGATTTTGGATGAAATAAACAAAAGAGAAAGGTGAGAGACGCATTTTTTTTATCCATTACGATTAGTATATGATGCAGAATATTGTTAAAAATGCCAACATTCTCCTTCCCGTTACCTTTCCTTCAGCTTGGTTATGTACTGTACCACTAATCGCAATACTTTAGAATGTGTGTATGTTTTTTTTTATCCTACAGCACAGCAAACTTAGCAAATAGTATTCATATAGAATACTTTACTTTCAAATTAGCTTGCATTAATTATCGGAGACTTGCTTTGCCAGATGTTATGGTTTCATTTACTCAGGGAATCCCGGAAAAAGGTGAGACTGAATTCGGACTGAATTTCAGCGGTAGCTTTCTGCATCTTTTAAAATATTTGCAATAAAAAGCCTGTCCTTTGTGAACATAAACTTTGTATTCCGCGAACAGTAACTATTGGTACTGGGGGGGGCTCTATCAAGAATAAAATTAATACAGTTGAACTATGTGTATAGACACATGATCAATTCATCATATTAAGTGCATGATTTTATAGACTAAACATTGTTAGTACAGCAACATAATCATCAAAATAAGTTACTGCAAGTAATGCTTTAACACATTCTCCCTGTTGCGTTATGGTTTTCCTTTATTTTGATTTCTAGCTAAAACACTGTTTTAAATTTTACCTAGACGTTAAATAACAAATCGATTATGTACATTGATAAGATGTAGAATAGTATGTAATTGAGCTGCATATTTAGAATGCACTATTACAAAACCAATTGATTTAATACCCAAAGGCATTTTCATCTTTGCGGTTTAGGGTACAGGTGCCAAAATCTTAGTTTAGTATTTGTTGGCAAGACATTGCTTGATCATTTAAAAGACCTTTGGTAGAAAACCAGCTGGCAACTCCGAATATTTATAATCTTGGAGTTTTGTAATTTAAAGATGAGAAAAAAACGTTCTCAGGTATGTACAGTATAGCGCACGACTGCCTAAGTTTCTAAATAGAACTGGACAGATCCTACATTGATCTTTGAAAGCAGATTTAGCTTTTAAAGTCTGATGCCTGTTGCTATGATACAACAGAAGTTGGAATAGAAAGTGCTGTTTTATTTTAGTATTGGTCCCAGCATGCGCTATTAACACCTTTTTTTTTTTCCTCTCTCATTCCGTAAAAAGGCATCCAAATGTTTGTTTGTTTTTTAAATAAAAAATACAACTTGTTACAATGTATAAGCAGCGTTTGGCTACGCATTGTATTGTACTGTCTGATACGTTTAATTTCGGTTCTCCAAAAAGTACAACCGATGTGACTTGAGGATCTCCGATTCTCAGGCGAGGGTTTTCCGCGGGGCTGTAGAAAAGCAATACAAGAGGCGAGCTCCCTCATATTCACGTGGCAGAGCGGCATTTTCACGCCTGGGAGGTTACCTGAATTGAGATGATAATCACAGAGCAGCTCTGATTTCGCATATACTGAAAGACTGCACCAGGGGTACCTACTACAGTATATAGTATGCTGATAGACGGAAAGCACAGACTGAAAATAAAAGGGGAGGCTTAGCTTTGTTATGATGCCCAGAGTGGAATTCAGTGCAATGACTGTTTAAATCAAGACTTCAGTCACTCTTTGACGGACTTAATGTAATTTTTAATGCAAATATTGTGTTATAGCACTTTTCCGTTGTTCTGCTGGTTGTGTTTTATTAGTGTGTTTTTCAATTTCTCTGTTTCCGCATTGTAAATATATTTTCTCAAAATGTAAGTTCTTTGTGCTGCTGTACTGTATATACGTTGTTTATAACTATATCTTTCATTAGTCTTAAAAGGACACTGCCGCTGTAACTAGGCGGTAAAGGCGCACAATGCCTATAACTTCTAGGTCAATGGTTCAGTTACAGCAGAGAACAGTGTCGATTTTGCCCAAGGCTGCTGGGTAATATTGTGAAATGAGCTGTACTCTTTCTAGCTCATTTCCTTATGGATCAACCACATAAGCAAAGTTCCATTTATACACTGCATTACACAGCTAGGTCCCCACACCCTGCCTCACACATCCTCAGAGCAAATTAACCCAGAACCTGGGTTCTCAGAAGACTGCAACCCCTGGATTTATGTTTTACTCTCAGATTCCTCAGTTGTTTAGACTGAGAAAATGGTTATCTTTAGTTGTATTGACTCTACTCTATGTATGTATTCAACATCCTTCTCATTTATAGCAGCTGTCTATGAGCCTTATTCTGGTGGGAAGGTGTTCTTATCAGTAGAATATTGTTTCATATCCAGAATTGTGTATTGAGCCTAGGGATATTGCAAATGGCTCTAATAAACCTTCAAGTACAGTGAGTTTCAGGGTACTGTATTGATATACATTCTATTGAGGGTTATTATCTTATTGTTTTAATGTGTTGAAAGATGATCCAGAAACAGAAAATGTTGTACAAATTGTAGCTTCAGGTTACTTTTTGTAGTGAAAAAGTTCACAGCTCTGTGTATCCAAATACCAATGTGATACAGTATATACCCTGACTGTTTGCAAAACGTTGTTGAAATACTTACAGTATTTTTCTTTATGCTGTAATCACACCTTTTGTTTCCTATGCCATCTACTATATATTTTATTTACACCAGAAATAATTGAACTTTTTCATTGTCACTTACAGAAAATACAAATAAGAGATTCCCAAGAATTTACAGTATCTTCTCTGACTGGAAAAAAAGGTTGTTAAATTACACTTGTCTGAATCTATAAACCACTTGAGTTTGTTTTTTAGATGAAGAAGATGTAATTTATAATTTAAACAATAAAAACACACTGAACAACAATTGAGAATGAAAAACCAAACTTGTCCACCTCTTCAACAGGATTAGAACAATAGCTGCTTCTGGGAGCTCTCTGTAGGATTTTGTAGCAGTTTTCATCCGCAGTCTTTCCAGCTGTGGTGTTGAAACATTTCCCTTTTTGTGACACTGATACATAAACAACGTTTTATACAAATATCGTTGCTGAAGGAGACTCATTATAATAGTTGTAGAAGTTTTCAGCATTGTACTGTGCAGGTAATCCTATTTTCAGTTTTCTCTGCATTTGAGCTTCATACTGTATGTTGTAGAAGCATATTAGTTTATTGCATGCATTCTGTTTAGTGTTGAGACTTGGTTCATCATGTCATTTGTCATAATTAGCTGTTTTTCAATTATCTCCCTCTGTCATTGGCATTATTATGATGACTAGCCACGCTTGTGCACTATTGATTGGTTGGACTTTGCAGGCATCTCGACTGGATACAGTTCTTTCTTTAGTGATTGAGAATAGAGAGAGACGCATCTAATTACACCTTTCTGTTAAGGGGTAAAGGATTCTAGAGGATTTTCACCCCAAGTGCCAGAAGGGAGCCAAAGTTTGGTTCCACTGTAAAATTAAAAAACGGGTGCAAATGTCCTCATTTTAGGTACTTCTCATCCTTTATAACTTAAAACTTGTCTTAATTCTGAGCAACAGGAAATTTTTAAATGTTCATTAAATCAATCACAATTAAGAAGCTGTATCGTCCATAAGCAGCTGTGACAGATGCCGACAGTGGATTAAAGTAGCTCAACTGACTGAATGTCTATATGGGGCGGAGTGGTGGCTCTGTGGCTAAGGATCTGTGCCTGTGGTTGGAAGGTTGCCGGTTCAAATCCCGTGGCCAACAGAGGAATTCTGCTTTGTTGGGCTCCTGAACAAGGCACTTAAACCCCAACTCCAGGGTTGCTGTACAATGGCTGACCCTGAGCTCTGACCCCCAGCTTCTCTCTCTCCCTGTCTGTGTATCTCATCGAGAGGAAGCTGGGGTATGTGAAAAGATGAATTCCTAATGCAAGAAACTGTACAGTATGTGGCCAATAAAGTAATCTTATCTCTTAAATTGCGTCTAATCCGAGTTCCACTTTGATGCCAATGACCTATGTATATTAAAGTCTTCCTTGAAGTGCCTTAAAAGTAATCCAGGGACTTTTTGTCGGGCCTACATGCTGCACATCTTCTTTTCTGGTTGTCTTGTAATTTTTCATTCCCAAGGATGTAGATTGTCGGGAGGCTGGTGGGATGGAGTGCTCCTGGAAGACGGTGGTGCTCCTGGTGTGTGCCTCCCTTGGGATCCAGTACACAGCCATCCGGTCCCTGAGGGCCTCGCTCCCCTCACCCTGCCCGGGCGGCGACCTCTGCCCCCACAGGGATCTCAAAGGTAAAGGCAGTGTCTGCTCGGAGCTCGCCCTTTTCCTCCTTAGGGCGGAAGATGCTCCTTATTCTCTATTTGAGCATGTCTGGGTTTTTTTTTTTTGCACTTATTTTGTACCTTTCCTCTCATCCTTCCCCGGGTTCAGAAACCCTGATTAAAGCTCAGCACCACTATGCACACGAGAGGGGTTGAGCTTAAGTGTTTCCCCCACTTTTTTAATCAAACTAACCTTGTGCCTAATAACCACATATGGCTCGTACAGCATGATGACCTCCGAAACTCTGTGTGACATTGTATGGGCGCAAGCTTGGTACTGTACAATTTTACATCAAACTGAAGTTATTACAGGAAAATGACAGTACATATTGTGCTTGCTTTGTATATTACAGCAGTGTATTGGTTGAAATGGATATGTCACCAGAGTGCACATAATTCGATTGGTCTACACCTGTGAGAACAGCCCTTAATGTTATAAAGAAACTAATTCTATAAAAGATCCCAGCATAACAGTGCTTAGGTTGCAATCTAGGGGAAGAAAGAGTTCTGCCTTTTAATGGCCCACAGGGTTGTAACAGTAAAATGATATAGTATTGGTCATATTAAATTAAACAAATAATGACCTCTTACGATTGTCATTTGGGATTTGATATTGTGTAACTGGAGCAGGGATGCAGGGGTACAGATGGAAAAACCTTTGCACCCCAGCTGGTTAGTCACCAGCCCAGGAATCAAAAGGCTCTGTTCAAAGGCTATTCAGCCACAAGCACTGATTGTAAACATTGGGCCTCATTCAAAACCCCTCCTTTTTGTAGGGGAAAAAAGTGTTACCTTCACCCCTTTTGCAAACGAAAATAAACAAATGAAGCTGTCAGGTACTTTAGAACACATAGCTTTATTTTGAGTACTAATCGGGGGTTCCAAACTGTTTTTAGAAAAAGGTTTATTTTTCTGCACTTTTTCTCCATCTGAGTTTTTGTTCAATTATGCAAATCTTTAACTAATGTGGTTTATTGAAAGTATGTAAGTATGTGGTGCAGCAAGGTACTAGTAACAATTCCCTCCTTTGATGTTAAGTTTTTTTTTTTAACAACATTAGTGAATGAGAGAGTAAACCATTTAATTGTAGAGCTAGCAATTTCGAATGAAAACTAGATTTATGCCTAATGTCAATGTAAAAAAATCCAACATGGGATATCAAGTGTTTGAATGTGGCTAAACTGTGTACATGCAAATGGCCAGCAGAGGGCAAACATCATTGGGTAATGTGTTACCATGCGCAGAGGGGATTTGATGAGCGCTTGTGAACTCCATATTGCTCCTATCCTAAAAAGACAATAACAAATCAACTCCAGTAAAAATTATCTTGGTGTTTAGCCTGTTTCGCAGTTAGTAGTTAATTGATCCAAGGATCTTATCGAGCTATTTCTTGAAAGAAGCCAGGGTATCGGCTTCAACAACACAGCTGGGTAGCTTGTTCCAGACTCCCAAAGCCCCTGGGGAAATGAAGTGCGCCCTGTTCTTGGTTCTAAAAGCATTGCCATATAGTTTCCACGTACAGTATGTCTTCTGCTTCCTGTTTTGTTCTGCAGAAATCTGAGTTGACTTGGTCGGTGCTTTTGAGGGTTTTAACACTTGTAACATGTTACCTTGTAGTGTGTTGTACAATTTTGACATAACCCTTGATTTCAATTCTTCACTTTTTAAACTATTTGTCTTCATGTTCTGTTTGCCTTTTAATTATTTTCCTACATTGTCTAAAAGAAACATCTGAGCCTTTTTTATAAGTAGCCTTTTCTAGCTTGGTGTTTTCCATTTTGTATTTATAGTTGTTTTTACTACCTGCATGCACTTGTCTACATTAAATGTCATCTGCCAGGAGTTGGTTCTGAATTTGTATCTAAATGTATTTGAATTTCATTTGCTCTCTACTAGAGTTTTTTGTTCATAAAGCAATGTTTGCAATTTCTGTGTAACAATTTTCTATCCCAGGTATTACTTGAAAGAATTAAAAAAACAAAAAGATGATTCTTAGAATTTGTTAGAAATTGTATTTTAAATTATGGGATTCCACAATATTAATTTCTCCATTCAGATGCTCTGGAGTTTCAAAGTACATCTGGTATAAACAGTTAATTTACTGACTCATGTGTCCCAACATCTTTTATAAAGGAGAATATGCAGGATAAAAAGGAAACAAAATGAATGTTGTATGCAGCTGTTGGGGAAAACACGTTGCATTATTCATTGAAAGAGGAATGAATTCAGTGAAGAAATGGCAGCAGACAGATATCGGTGAATATGTAAATGCTGCAAAAGAGTGCAGTGTGTTAAGACCAGGTCTTAAAAGAATTATAGCAATGTTTGCTGATTAATTCTAGGTTCTTGAAATGCAGAATCGGGATTTGATTTGATAATCACTCTGCAGACAGCAGGGTTCTTTAACATCTGTCTGTATCTATCTGCAGTGACATGTTTGGTTTTTAAAAACCTGCTGTTAATTCAAATGCTCTAATGGACCCCATCACTCGGTATACTGTTTCCAGTTCCTAGGGCACTGTGTCTCATCCATGCATCAAATTAAACAATAAGGTTTCATAAAAGAGCTTGCCCATCAAAGGTTCTTGTCCTCATGCTCCCCAGACCTTTCTGCCTGTGGTGAAGATCTTGGTCAATTTTCTTGATCTCCACCTAAAATCCTACAACACTTTCAAAGCTAATTTACTGTACATTACAAAGACCCAACCAAACATATTCATTTCTCTTTTCTGCTTGAATGATTTTTTTTTTCTGTCTGCACTGCACTGCTGCCCATGCCTGTGCCATAGACTCTTTTGTTCAGTTTGTGCTGCCCTCATGTTTCACAGGCATTTCGCATTAGTGGGGCTGTACAAATAAAAGGCGCCGCAATAAATGTAATATGTTAACTTTAGCCATTTGATAACATAAGACAGCCATTTGTATGCATTTATAATAATATTAACTCTAAAACAATTTCAGGAATCCAAACAAAGAGGGGTCTAATAACTGTCTAGTAAATTAGAGAGAGATACACTGGTATGCATGTAGCCTTGAAAATGACAGTTAATAAAAATAAAAAAGCCTTGCAATTGTATTGTGCCTTTTATTCCAAAAGATCCCAGAGAACAGTACTTCACACATACAAGAGGATCCACTTCTACTATCCTGAAGAGCAGTGTCCTCTTGGGTGACATACTGTGGCCATTTTGTGCCAGCAGCTGACTAAACAGGAGAGCAGGTAGAGAAGTGTGACATTGCTTCACCAGTTAAATTGAAGGGAACCTTAAGGAAGCCAGATTGTCCAAACCCAAAATTCAATTTAGCCAGGACACATGTTAACTTGTTTACTATTACAAACAATGCCATGGGGATTTACGGTATAAAGACAAAGGAGACAGACCTCAGTGGAACACCTCATTCATAAGGTGTCACCTGTCACTGTAATGGGGCATTGGTCCAGGAGGAAGAGAGCCAGCTACTATCTACCAATCCTGTCAGGTTTTGTAGCTTCATTGACCCTGGCATAGACAGTCGCAACATTATTGAAAGGCTGATCCGTATGAACAATATGGAGGAACTAGCTGGAGCACTTTTTGGCTTTGTATCTGCTATTAAAAACATTTGCCATCTCTGCATTCAGAAATAAAGCTGCTACATTACACAATCTCACATTTGTAAGGGCATTCTGTTTCTGTTGGAAAAGGTAATGTCCACACTTGAGCACATGGGCTCACTGCACCAGAGCTCATCCTGGTCTCCATTGTATCAAGCGATCTGAGAGAATGTGACTCCCCCCTGGATGAGACACTGCTGACGCCCTATTTTACAGTTGGGTGGACGTTGATAACTGGAGTAAAGTACTTTTCCTAGGATCTAACAGCTGTGTCTGTAGCAAGTACTTGAACCCACAACCTAGCAGTTACATGTCTAGAGGCTTATCCACTGATCTGTGTCATCCCCTTGTTTTTATCACAGCATAAACAATTCCAGTTGTTTCTTTTCTTACTGCCATTTGTAACAGTTTATCACAGTGTTACACAGAGAAGGTATAATATTTTAGAGACACTAGATTGATGGACAGGACTACTGCCGTGAAAGTAGACTTCAAAAACACAAAAAGCAATAAAATAACTCCCTATAGGCTTATGAAGTGAGAAGCATAGAATAGAAGTGAAAAAAAGTTAATAGTGATTAACCTGAATGTTGTGATACCTGAATTCCCAGGCACAACCTAACTTGAAACATGTGCACAATTGTGAGAAGTTGAGTTCTTTATGGTTTTTGTGCTAAAGTGACTGTGGACTTTTACCTTTTAGTGTTACAACAATAATATAAATATGGTACCATTATTAAAAATAGTATAGTAAATTGTTAAAAAAATCTTTCAGTTTAAAGTACTATTGGTTAATTCATGCTCATACAACCTTGTGCAGTACATCACACTTCAAAAGGGGGATGTTATAATTCCTGTTGTTCCCTTATTCCCCTTAGGGGTTCAGGGAAAAAGGTGTTTGGAATGAAAATTGGTTCGTAAATTAAAATCAGAAGGTAAAGATAAAGGGAAAAATTGTGGTGATATGATTAGTGGAGTACCACAGGAATCTGTACTAGAACCACTGCTCTTCCAAATTTATATCAATGATTCACTGGAGATTTTGGTACAGTTAATACAACTTTCAAATTCATAGATTATATCAGACTAGGAGGATAAGCATATACTGTAGCAGCAGCAAATGCAATTTAAAAAGATTTAGATCACGTTCAAGTCTGGTTAAACACCTGCTCTGTCTTGGAGCCAGTCATAAGTGTCAAAAACGGAAAGGAGGTGGCCTGTGCTCTTTTTCACATCATGCAAAGCACAGGAAGGGCCAGGGTAGATGTTCTTTAGACAAGTGTAGAATATTGCTTTTGGGCAGCAAAAAACAAATGAAACATACAAAATGGGAACAGCTGAGATAGTAGAGGTTAAGAACAGTATGTCTTCGGTTTTTATGTTGAACGTCATTTATGTCTCCCAAACAATGTGGGGAACATGTTCCGTTAAAAATATATATATAAAATTATATTTTATCATATAATAAATTATATATTATTTTATTATATAATATTATTATATCATATTTTGATATAATATTTTATATATATTATATATTTAACTGGATATCCAAGGCATCAGTTTTCTGTTACTCATTGAATGCCATCAGTGAGTTTCCAATCAGGCAGTGGCGGATCTTGAAAAGTGCTCCTGTTTATATTTTAGATAACCCATGAAGTAAGAGGAGACAGAGTGTCGAGCAAGGAACGGCGCTTAAATTTCAGCAATCTAATTCAAAAGAATGGGCACCAAGCTAGGATGGAGGATGCAACAGCAGTGTGAAAGATTTAGCAAATTTCAAGGAATGCAAAATGTGAACAGATTATTATGAGGCTATACATATTTTTAATTGAACATTTGTCATATTGTAATATAAAATAATTTGCGAAAATGGGATGTTCATCATTCTAATTACTTTGTGTAACTTTAATTAGCACAACACACTTATTAACTTGTTACCATAAAATAATAAGCAATAGCTGAGTCAATATCCCTAAATAACAGTGTATATAGTCTCTAACCAACAGGGATTCCTTTTTATGTTTTTAACTATAGGAAATATTTTAATATTTTATTCACACAGACCTGTAAACAGGAACATCTCTCATTGTAAGACAATGTAAGTAAATCTCTACAGTATGTTTACAGCTGTGGTTACTCACTGAATGCTGATTGTACTGCTAATGCTACCTTTGTGTACATCTGAATAGCATTTTGCATCCCTGAGGATCTCATAACCCTTTAGATATGGGAAGGGACCCACCTGAACCAATGCTGAGGTGCAGCCCTACTGGAGTGACACACAAGAGGCATTCTGTACCAGCATCCCTGCTACACAGCAGATCAGGGGAAGGGGAACCACACCTAAAGAAGGCTCCACGGCCAAAACGTTGTGTTTTCTTTCTTCTCTTTTCAGCATGGAATAAACCTATTACTTGTTCCTTTGCAGCCTACGCATGCTGACAAACCTACCCACCTGAACTAGATCAGGTGAAAGGCTGAGGAATTGTTTTGCCAGTTCAATTATTGGAGATCTTTAATGTGGCCAGAATGTGCGAGCCCAGAGAGGAATGTAGCCAAAATGCTGGGGTTAACCACTCTATCGTATGAACTATGCCACTGGACTAATGAGTACAGTAAGTAGTCAGGAACATGTAATGTCTCATTCAAAGAAGAAGCAAAAATTTAAGCAAAGTGTTAATACTCACCACATGTGAGGATTGGTCTGGAAATTCTCTTCCATAGGGAAGAGCACGTCCTGACTCCTGAACACCACTTACTGTGGCATTGTGGGATTTAACTGTTTGTCAGTGGTACAGTTCGGCACTGTAATCAAATACACAATGCAAACTCACTAAGGTGCATTGCAGTCCAGGGTGTTTGGAAATGCAGAAACTCACTTTGACAGTCGCATTTGTTTGCCATCCTTTCCTTGTTGAGCCTTGTTCGGCCAAACAGATCTGCTCTTTTTCATTTTCCCGACTTCTAAAATAATTCCAATGAATAAAGATTCTTGAATATCTCCTAGGAACACTTGTTTTAGGCCTACGCCTGTTTCTGAAATGACATTTGAGATCACTTCTACTGGAGTACCTAATCAGACTTGGCCAAACTGTTGTTGCTCTCTCATTCTTCCCCGCAGAGTATGGATGGAGATCGCTCTGCGACGATGGAATTCAGCCTCCCGGAACCTCCCACTTTCACGGCAGGAACCACATCATCCTTTTCGCGACCACTAGAAGTGGATCGTCCTTCACCGGGCAGCTGTTCAACCAGCACCCTGACATCTTCTACCTGTTCGAGCCGCTCTACCACGTTCAGCAGGCGTTCACCAACTCCAGCACGCGGCTTCGGAAAATCCTGGACCGCCGCGCCTTGCTGGGCGCGTACAGAGACCTGCTCCACAACCTCTACAACTGCGATTTCTACTTTTTGGAGAATTACATCAAACCGGAGCCCAGGGACCACGTCACGGGCTCATTCTTCAGGAGGAGTTCCAGCAGTGCCTTGTGCTCTCATCCAGTGTGTAAGGAACTCCCCGACACCGAAGAGCCGGATGAAATCTGGTGTTCTAAGAAGTGTCGGACGCTCAACCTCACCCTGGCTGCTAGAGCGTGCCAGAAAAGAGGGTCTATGGCTATTAAAACAGTTCGGATCCCCGAAATCAAGGACCTGAAGATCCTCTCGGAGGATCCAAGGCTGAACCTGAAGATTGTACACTTGGTGCGAGACCCTCGGGGAATCCTGGCGTCAAGGATGGTCGCTTTCATGGACCAGTTCCGCGCTTGGAAAATATGGAACGCCACTGGCAGGAGACCGCATTACATTGACCTCTCCCAGATCACCAGGACGTGCCAAGATCTGTCGGACTCAGCTGAGACTGGCTTTCAGAAACCCTCCTGGCTGAGAGGGAAGTACTTGCTGGTTAGGTATGAGGACTTGGCTAAAAATCCAGAAGAGAAAGCCAAAGAAATTTACAAGTTTATCGGCCTGGAGATGGATGAAAAAGTTCGCACTTGGATAATGCACAACACCAACAGAAGCGCAATCCCAGAAGGGAATTATAAATTTTCAACAACGAGAAATTCCAAAGCTACCGCTGAAAGCTGGAGATTAAATCTGGCTTTTGATATTGTTCAGACAGTCCAAACTGTTTGCAATAACACTTTATATCTGTTAGGGTACAAACCTGTGAATTCAGTGACTGACCTGAGAAATATGTCCAACAGTTTAGTTGAGCCAAGAAATTTTTTGCCATTTTTGTGATGATGGTGTTGTTTAAAAGATCATAATGTGGTATGTAAGGACTTTAACACAATATGGATTTTTGTATTTGCCTGATGGGTTTGTGTGATCATAAGACCTGATGAACTGTGTATTTTTCTAATAATAATTTCATCACAGTACACTGAATATTGAAAAGTACTGTTGATTTTTCCAATATCAAACTAATTCTGAATGCTGTGCAACAGATCACTTACAGCAGTGCGAATCTCAGGTGACTGTAGACATAAACAATATAAAAAAATATTTGTAAGTTTACATATCATAGGTTCTGCTGAGTCAACTGCCAGTATTATGTAGTTTCCAATAACCCAAAATCAAAATGAGTATGTGTGTGTATATATCTCACAAGAACATTTTATTATCTTGAGCTGAGGTGTTACACTAACATTTTGGGATTCTTAAATTTAAAGCTAATGTATAAATAAACCATACTTAACCATACACCATACATTAAAAAGCAAAGAAAGTGCAGTTTGCACCATTACTGGTAATAATTTAATGTATTGTAGTGTCAGACAGTAGCTATAAAAATCTGTGCAAATTAGAACTGAAATATCCAGTATGAAAATATTATAATAAAATAATGCAAGAAAGTCAGAAGAGATTGAAAAAATCTACACAGAGTGCATTAAAAGCATACCCAGACATTAAGAAATACAGGCACTGAACTTCCTGTCATTCAGTGCACAAATAAAAAGGATTGTGTTAATAATAATTGCTGCTATAATTGCCTTTCTGTCGTAAATGTACAGTAGATGCCTGCTAAAGAAAAAGGGATGCAGCAAAAAAAATGGTCTTTTAGTTTTTTGGGGAACTTTTTGACTCGGCAAAATACATGCTGAGGCCCGTCATATTCTAATGAGCAGCCTTGACATACGAGACGCATAATGTGTACAATATACTGTATGACACAACTCCATACAAGGTCATTGATTTAAAAGGGCAGTGCCTACCTGGAAGAAGCTGGCCACCCATGTTAATAACAGTGATTCCTTCAGATCTTACGTGAAACAGCTCAACGGGATCTTCTGCTCAATATGTTCCCAGCAACCTAATGGGCAGGATGGAGCAAATCACCGTTTTGTGTTCTTCAGTCTGACGCCTGGAAATAAACACCCACATAGCAGTAGGGTGGTCTTGTGGACTAAGCAGGACCTGCTCCAGAGGGTGTTCAGTCTACCTGGAGTGCTGACATATTATAGGAAATAATAATAATAAAACACTTTTATGGATTAGGGTGCTCTTCTGAATACGGCAGGTCTTTCTCCATATAGTTATACGTGTGTACTGTATAAATACAAGGTTATATACTGTATACTGTAGTCTTCTTGGGATGTTTTAATTGTTATGTATTTGTGTTCCTTTTAATTTAGCATCTCTTTTTAAAACGAAATGTAAAACTGGAGATCAGGGGCTGTGAACCCCTGTAGCTGTACACACCAGTGTTTTCCCTTTATTTTCCAGACTCAGCATGCTTCCCGGGAGGCCATTTCTGCCATGAGAGCGATGGTGCTTGTCCTGTTCCTGCTCTGGAACGGTTGTGCTCATGTTTCCCATACCGGTGTGCCCATTCATCTGACACCCCTGTCCACGGTGTGTGCTTGCCTTTATTCACTGTTGCAAATATACACAAAAAAATTTTGAAGAGCTTACTTTCTCCTAGCGAGAACAGGAGGCACTTTTTCATGCAAAGGGTTGTGAGAGTCTTTAATGAGGTACCAAGCCATGCTGTTAAACCTGATGCCCTGAATTATTTTAAGAAGTAGTTGGATAAGATCTTGGGATTAGTGTCTTAACAGAAACCAAACAAGCTAGATGGGTTGAAGGGCCTTCTGTTTTCTGGAACCCCTCTGTATTTTTGTAACTTTACTAGCCTGTATGAATGTGTATAATCTGAATGGAATAGCGTTGGTGGCTTGGCTCATGTATAGGTTAAGAAATCACCCTTTTCACTTGTTGGCTGTTGTTTAGTAAAGGAGTTGGGATCTGTGCTGTTGAAGGTCCTGTCTTTTGAATCAGACAGTTGAATTTGTCTAAGAGATGGAAAGATATGGTTTTAAAAAGAAACACTTTGCATTTTGTATTTTTTTTCAGGTCCTTGATAGTGTCTCATTTAATAATGTTCACATAATGTATCATACTTTTCATTTTTTCAAAAATGGAGAGTCTTTCTTCACACTTATGCTATGTGATCACAAATCACATTATTGTTATTTATGAGTTTATCTACTGTATGTAGTTAATTTATCTATGTAGACCCTAAAATGAGATATATCATTAAATGTAAGTATGCTATGCTCATACACCTTATTTTTAGTCTACATGTAATCTATATACAGTACAACCTTGCATGAATTACCTTCTAAATATATATTGTAAAGCATTTACCTAAACATCCTTAACTTGCAAAGTACAATAGCCAAGAGTATAACATTCAAACATCCAAAAATCAGAAATGCTTGTTTATTCAATCTTGTTTTATGTCTGCTTTAAAATATATCACTTTATTTATGTCCTAAATATTACATGCTTACATAATAGAAAAACCATCATAACAAATATTTGTGGAGAAGTTGGTAGGGTTCTAGCTGGATGGTTATGGGCTCAAATCCCAGGTGAGACACAGTTGTTGTTCCCTTGAGTGACGTGCTTCCCTCCAACTGCTCCAGTGAAATACCCAGCTATGTAAATGGGTATTTACATATAACTGTAAGGTGCTTTGGATGAAAGCATCAGCCAGATTCATTGCGTGAAGGCACTGCCTGTCCATGTGATTTTCTGGAGTCTGATTCAATGAAATATTTTTTAACCTTTCTCACTCGGATGATAAGAAGTGAGCAGGGTATCTGTAACTGATGCCCAAAGGGATTGTGTTTTTCCCAAGTACCTTTACCAGACAGCTGCTCCCTGTTCTGTAGCTGCATTACTTGCTCCCTGATCAAATCAGTCGTATGGAATTTTGACTCACTAATATGAGTAGCCTTGCCCATCTGGCAATATGTATGGTATTAATGGAGAATGGGGAGCAGGCAGAAGGGAGAGATCTCAATCCAATGAGATGTGTGTTCACTGTATGAAATAACCTAGGCATGTCTAGAAAACAGTGATTATATACCTCTGAAATGTCACTGCATTCCCCATACTCTGAATCTTTAACCATATTTTCAATGTGAAAATATGATGGACGTGCAAAACAGATTTAAGAAGAGTAACTTATGCATACTTAATAGACATTGGGGAATTGTATTCTCAAAATGATCAAAAAGTGTCCATTTGTTTTACCATTTAGTTTACAGTATATTTTTTGTGATAGATTGCCAGATTAAATTTACAGCTACACTGAAGGAAAGTCAGTCAGAAAAGGTTTGTCTCACCTGATATTGAATGACAGGATCAAAGCTGGTTCCTTGTCAGTTCATGACTTCATCTTTCACAGAAATTGGCTTCAGCTGTTTATTTGATCTCTGACTGAATAAGGAAGCCAGAACGATTGCAGATTCCATTTTCCCAGATAACAATCTGAATGTTAAGACACTCATTTTATTTATTTATATTTTTGCTTATTTACTTTATATTTTATTTGGGGGAAAATGAAATATTGCTTTAAAAGAAGAGTCTGGGACAAAAAATAATCCACAGTCTGTAACCCTGAAGATGTTCTTCAGTGGGAAAATGCAAATAGATGTTCCACCACTTCAGTGAAGAAAATAAAGAATGTTGGCATCGCTATGCCACTTCAGAAGCTTTCAGATTTCTGCCAGGGGAGCCTGAGTCTTCCACAAAAGGGAGAGGCACTCATTCCAAGTCAATGGAACAAGCTTGTGTCAGGACCCAAAGGCAACAATATGACAGAAGAAAATCTAATGACAAGTCTTTTAGCTTGTTTTTCCAATGCCTGTTGTCATTGCGCTGGATCAGAATAAAACATCTGGATGAACACTTAAATAACACTGTTTTAAGCCTGGTTTCTACTACAGCATATAGCGCAAGACACAACCACATGATGAAAGTAAATGGACTGAAAGAGAGGCTGTATAATTAAAAATGCAAAATGTGTTCTGTGGTGTCACCAGGGAAAAAGCAGGTGTAAAAGGGATGTTACTCACACCACACTGGTCTTCTCCGCTACTTTGTCCATTTGTATTCCGATTCCAATCCGTAATCCATTTCCTGTATCCTTAAACAATCCAAATTCCAAAGTCCGTATGTCCACACAAATCCGTGCCCTATCCAAATCGCAACCCACAAACTGTAGTCCATAATCCGTAAACCGTAGTCCGTTAGTCCTTATCCACAATCGTAATCCTCCTCTTCCTCCAAAAACCATTCACCTTGTCAGCTTCCACGCTGGCTCACCGCTTCTGGGGCATTTATATTTTGTTTCCTGATGTAGCTCACCTGTGTCTCATTGTATCGCTGAATAGACTTTCTCCAACAACAGGTCAGCTTATTCTCCTTGGCGGCCATCTTGCTCAGGTCTATATTAAGTATATTAAGTGTTTTTTTCCGGAAATACTGGTTATGAATGACCCTTCCCCTGGTAATCTTACATTCCCTCCCCCTGAGATCAGCCCCGTCCTCAGGCAGTCTAGATAAAAATAAGCAGTGCATTCAGGAGAGGGCATCTACAGTACATTCCCTTGTTTCCTTGCGGGTCTATATACTGTTCGGAATTGAAACCTTTGAAGACAAAGACTCCATCCCGTAATTCGATTATTTTTGTCCATATTTTGTAGGTTATGATGCATCATCTGTATACAATATAAACTGTCTTCCTAATAAATAATACCTTAAATAGTCAAGGGCCCATTTTATTGCTAGACATTCTTTTTCTATCGTAGAATAGTGTTTTTCTGCGGGATTTAACTTACGACTAATACATACAACAGGATGCTCCAGACCATCAATTTCTTGTGTGAGTATGGCTCCAATTCCAGTGTCAGAAGCATCAGTTTGTACCATGAAAGGTTTATTTAAGTTCGGTACCTATAAGACTGGTTGAGAAGAGAGAGTTGTTTTTAAGACTTGAAAGGCCCTCTCTTCCAATTCGGTCCATTTTATTTTTTCAGGACAACTTGTCTTTGTTAAATCATGTAGAGGGGCGGCAATGGAAGCAAACCCTGGAATGAAACGGCGATAACTCGCAAGTCCCAAAAATGTTCGTATTTGCCTCTTCGCAGAAGGTTTGGGACGGTTTTTAATTAACTGCACCTTCCAGTCTTGTGGCATGATCAATCCTCTCCCAATCGTATAACCAAGATAATTGGCTTCCCGGGCCCCTAAACAACATTTCTTTGGATTGGCTGTTAATCCTGCTTCTCACAGAGCTCCAGTCACTGCTTCCAGGTGTTGTAGATGTTGTTCCTATTTCGTGCTATGAATTACGACGTCATCCAAGTAGGCAGCCGCAAAACGTAATAGACGATTAGGTCTCAATATTCGGTCCATTAACCATTGAAACGTAGCTGGAGCACCATGTAAACCAAATGGTAGGACCCGATACTGGTACAGCCTCTCAGGTATGGCAAAAGTGGTCTTGGCTTTATCTTCTTCAGCCAGCGGCACTTGCCAATATCCTTTCGTAAGATCAAGTGTACTGATATATTGGGCGTTACCTAATAGCTCGATTAGTTCTTCTATACGGGGCATAGGGTATGCATCAAACAGCGAGATTTCATTTCAACTTTTTGAAATTGTTACAAAACCGAATAGTTCCATCTGGCTTTGGTATCAAAACTATCGGGCTATTCTCATATCTAGCATTTTTCCCACCTCCTCTTTAATTAATTTTCTTTTGGCTTCCGGTATTCGACAGGGGGGTAGTCTTACCCTCTTCCCTGGTTCTGTGATAATCTTATGTCGTATAAGAAGTGTTCGACCAGGTGTCCGGGAAAAAACATCTTTGTTTTCCCTAGGAATTCTTGTAATTCCTGCTTCTGAGCTGGAGCCAGGTATCCCATGGCTACAGCACCTGTTTCTTCTTCCATAGGGTCAGGGGAGAAGTGGGAGAGCAGGACTTCTGTACCATGCCATTTCTTCAATAAATTTACATGGTAGATTTGATGCTGCCGTCTTTTGTCATGTTGCTTGACCTTGTAGTTAACCGGACCCACTTTTTCCACCACCTCATTCTGGGGTTGGAACTAAGACCAATACTTTGTCCCCAGGCTGAAATTCTCTCACAATAGCTCCCCTATTATACATCTGTTTTTGTTGAGCCTGGGCTTTCTCCAGGTTTTCCTTCACAATGGGAACAATAATGTTTATTCTTTCTCTCATCTGCTCCATGTGTTCAATGATGCTCCCAAGATTCTTTGGCCAAGTCTAATAGGCCCCGTGGTTTCTGAGAGTATAGGAATTAAAATGGGGAAAATCCGTTCAAGGCCCAAGGTACTTCTCGAACGGCGAACATGAGATACGGGAGCAGCTGATCCCAATTTTTACCATCCTTTTGCATGGCCTTCCTCAGCATGCTTTTCAGGGTCTTATTAAAACGTTCGACTAGCCCGTCGGTTTGAGGGTGATAGACCAAGGTTCAGATCTGATGTATACCCAATAGCTTACATAAGTCTCGCATTACTTTTGACATAAAAAGAGTTCCTTGGTTGGTTAAGATCTCTTTAGGAATTCCCACCCTAGCGAAAAGTTCTTCTCCGTTACTTTGTCCATTTGTTTTCCGATTCCAATCCGTAATCCGTTTCCTGTATCGATTAAACAATCCAAATTCCAAAGTCCATATGTCCACACAAATCCGCACCGTATCCAAGTCGCAACCTACAAACCGTAGTCCGTTATTCCTTAATCCTTTTAACCACAATCCTAATCACCCTCTTCCTCCAAAATGCATTTACCTTGTCAGCTTCCGCGCTGGCTCACCGCTTCTGGGGCATTTATGTTTTGTTTCCTGATGTAGCTCACCTGTGTCTCGTATCGCTGAATATGCTTTCGCCAACAACGGGTCAGCTGATTCTCCTTAGCGGCCATCTTGCTCAGGTCTATATTAAGTACTGTATATTAAGTGTTTCATTCCGGAAATACTGGTTATGAATGACCCTTCCCCTGGTCATCTTACAGTTCAAGCGCAGTAAGGTTTGCTACTTCTTTTTTATGTTGACGTGCCAGTATTTGTCTTGATTTTATACTGTCTAAAAAAATGATCTATAAAATATTTGTATATTCAATATTTTGTTAATAAACATTATTTACAGTAGACCAAATGTGATCTAGTGTGTTATTAATTAACTGGCACAATTCCATAAGCAAATCAACTTCGTCTTATAAAGATGGTAGGGTAAACAGTATGCTCTTTAATATGGCTCAGATCTTTCTGTGTATACAGTTGCTGCTTTGTGGATAACATAGGCAATCATTCCTTGGGGATTCAATTTTAAAATTAATCTGGAATTTTGTCCACTTCACCCCAGACTGTTTCCAAAAGGTACATAATTAACCTCTTATTCCACCTCATTCCCTGTCGTCAACGTTTGTGGGGAAAAAAGTTTTCAATCTGTTTCTGAGTAACTGCAGTGAGGGCCAGTTTATTGTTTCAAAAGAGCTTGCTTGCATTTGTGTCTTTTGATTGATTGATGAGTTTACATGAGAAATCTGCCTGTGATGGCAGGTTTATTTTTCTCAGCGATTCTAGTTGAGTTTTTTTTATTCTTTTCAATCCACTCACTTCAGTCTGTATTCACTTTCATTCTAACTTGGAACCAAACCAGAGAACAAAATAAATCAGATTTCTGTTTGACGGCTTTGGGATAGTCACACATGAATAATGTTGTTTTAGTTCCTCCGGTAGTCTAGAAAATAACTGGCAATTGTATTTTACCAATTTATCATTGTAAAAAACTAAGTTTATGACTTGATAGTACTAGAATTACTATTGTAACAACCTTGTTGTTGAAGCCAAAACCCTGCCTACCTCCAATAAATGGCCTGATGAGATTCTTTCCATCAATTACTGTACTATTACAGTAATACAATTCTCTTAGTTACTAACTATCAAGCCAAACCAAATGGCCTTCTATCATTTGTAAACAGAGTTCAAAGGAAGAGTCCAGCTAACTGCCTTTGCAAGTGATTGCATTAACATCACTTTATTAATCCTATACAATTTCTTGCATTAGGAATTTGTCTTTTCACATACCCCAGCTTGCTCTCCATGAGACACACAGACAGGGAGAGAGC